GTTTTGAACTGCTCTCCTTTATAATCTTCCTCTAATGCACAACTCCAGCTGTCAGTGGAAGGGGAAAGGTGATTAAATCAGCTCGTGAGGACTCCCTGCAGGAAGGTACAGCGTGTGCAACATGTGTAAAGCAAACCTGCAGTTCATTTAAAGTTCCCTTTTCCATCACCCTGCAAGCTGACACAGCTTTAGCTCTGCAGCAACATGGACCTATTCCAACTGCTTGGAAAGTGGAAAGGGTTGGTCACTCCCCAAAGGAAAGGAGAAGGGATTTGTGAGGTCCCAAGCAATATTTCTGGTGCTGTACATTGCTTCCTTTCACAGTCTGTGTGACAGCAGTTCATCTTTGGGGTTGTACCACCCCCAAAGGCATCTTTTGCTGCCTGGACATTCCTTGGCACAAATGGGAAACAACCTCTTCTTCCCAACAGGCAACAAGCTGTGGTCTCACAGAGCTGAGGGGAATCAAGAAACTTCCTAGGAAGAAATCCAGGCTGAGAGGTGTCTGGGAATTTCTCAGTGACTTCAGGGAGAAGAGGTTGTCACCAGGTCTATGGGAATCTCAGGAAGAAGGCCACGTGCACAGGGGCACCTATCCACCCTGCAAGTAAATCCCCTTCACTTCCCCAGACTGCCTGGACCAGACTTTCCAGCCACATAAAGGAGTGGAAGACACAGATGCCAGCAGACTCTGGAAATTTTACACCTGGAGACATTCCTTGCTCTTATACAAACAGCACCTGGAAGTGAATGCAGAGTGAAAAATGGATTTCCAGCTCTCCAAGAACAAACCTACCTGAGGAAAGCACAAGACTGCTGTAAGCCCACCATTTCAGAGCTGTCATGGAGCTGAAACTGTCTCAGGGTCTGGTTTTTGTTCCTTATTAATCACTTTCATGAGCCTTTGCACGTCTGGATTCCAGCCTGACTGGAAGCAGCAGCACTGGAAAGCTCAGAAAGCTTTCTAAAGTGTGAACACCCCCCACTCCACACTCTTGGAGAAGGTTTAATGCACTTCAGGTTTGCATCCAGACTTCCAGGGGCTGAGCCAAGCAATCATCCCTCTCAGACACACAGGGTGTTCACCTGTCTGGGAGTTTCCAACCTGAAATCCAGGCTTTCATCCTGAAGTATCTTTGGCAGAAGCAGGGCCAAGAGATCACCAGGTGCAAAGGAGCTGAGATGGTGCCCAGGAAAGACAGCAAACTACCAGGGCTGCTGATGGAAAAATCCACTTTCCATCCTTCCCCAGGGATCTCCTAGGCTCCATCACCCTCATCCCATAATTAGATTGAGCAAAGAATGCCTGGCATTTGCTCCACAACTCAGGCAAGGTTTAGAAAGCCTCGAATAATGCCAAAAATCAAATATGGGTGAGCGAAGCTGCCTCTCAGCCAAGGGAGCCAAAGCCTGAGTGGGGAAGTGTGCCCCTCTCCCTCTCCTGTTTTAGTCTCCAGCAGTACAATGAGGGCTATTCTCTCCTGGAAGCAGGAATCCAAAACACTCTGGTGTTTTATGGATGGAGTACAAAGGGAAGGTATGGATTCTCCTGTGCCAGCCAACTTCCCATAAAGCAGCCATGAGGAAGCACTGGAGCTGAACTGAGGGGAAGCTGTGGGATTGGCCTTTCCAACCCACTGCTTCCCTTGCTCTCTCAAACCCCTCAACCAAAACGTGGCATTCACCAGGCCAGACAGGAAGGGAAATGGGAAGAAAACCTCTCTCCCCACCACCACTCCTCTTTATGAAACTGCCACCCACCAAAGGCATGACCTTGAGATTCCAGCCAGCCCTGGAACAGGGAGGGCTGAGTTGGGGACAAGAGCTCCAGATTGTGTCATCAAGGGCCCAGCCTCCTCCACACAGTGCAGCATTCCCACACCTTTGGTCCTGCCAAAAGGGAAAAGAGAGCCAGGAGGGAGCAGGGCCATGCCACAGAGGGCTCCTGGGCTGCTCTGTGGAGTCACATCCTGCATTCAGGTGGTCTGGTCTCAGATATGTTACCAGGAGGCAAAATTGATTAAAATACTCTCTGGAATAACTCCATGTGGTTATCATGGGTAACCCTGAGCTGAACAGTCTTTGCCCAGGACAGTGAGTGACAACAAGGTTGTGATGGGACGCTTGGAAGAAGGGAGAAGCCAGCTTGCTGCTTTGGAGACCAGAAATGTGCCTTTCCTTCCCTCTCACACCCCTGTGGTGACCAGTGACAGGAGGGAATGGTTGGAGCTGTGTCAGGGCAGGCTCAGGCTGGAGCTCAGGGAAAGGTTCTGCCCCCAGAGGGTGCTGGGCACTGCCCAGGCTCCCCAGGGAATGGGCACAGCCCCGAGGCTGCCAGAGCTCCAGAAGGATTTGGACAATGCTCCCAGGGATGCCCAGGGTGGGAGGCACAGCCCTGCCCAGTGGCTTCACTCCCCTGGGACTCCCACAGCCCAGATAATGAAGGAGGACATTGGATGTGGTGTGCCTGCTGGATGAAGATCCAGGGAGTGACCTCGATGGACATGGAGCTGATGGGAACGGATCCTGGCAAGCTGGTAATGATGGGAGCTGCAGCAAGACCCACCCTGAGGCACAACCATGACTTTGCCTTATTGTGCATCCCAACTCCCCACTGCAGGAGACACAAATGTGCCTGTAGGTGGCCCAGAAACACTGGCTTATAAAAAAGAAAAAGGGAGGGGAAAAAAACTCCAGAATGAATGCAGCGTCTGTCACCCTTTTGCAGAATTGTTATGTTTTTTGTGTGTAGTTGGTGCTTGTTTTCCAAAGATTTACATTTTTATGTGTGTGTCATTCGCTTTTCATGCATTCGGAGACCTCAGAGCTTAGAAATTCAAAATACTTGTCAGTCACGTCAATCCTTTTGGACAAAACAGAGCTGCCACTTGGATGGATTAAAAAAAGCCCACAACAAAACAACAAACAAAACACACTTTTCTCTCAAGCTGTGACTCGGTCACTCCGCTCAATGCGGGCAAGACAATGTTCAGAGAAAGCAAAAAGAAGGATCTGAGTTTTCATACTCATCGGTGGAACTAAATTGATTAAGGTCATTTCCTAGGTAGGTTTGAAATCTTCTGCAACAATTTTTTGCTTTTTTGAAAAGAAAAGCGTTCCTCCCCTCCATCCCCCCCCCCCCCCAAAAAAAAAAAAAAAAAAAAAACCCCCCCCCCCCCCCCCCCCCCCCCCCAAAAAAAAAAAAAAAAAAAAAAAAAGGAAAAGTCACCACTGCAAAAACATTAAATCTGCTTGGGTAACTCAGAATATATGTTGGCAAGGCAACATATCTCAGCTTGAACAGTAAACCTGCTATGTCAGAGGCTCTGCCACATATGAAAGAGGCTTGGGTTTCAATATCTCATGCTGAATTTACTGCTTTTCAGCCTTTCACGGCCAAGTATTTGATGTCTCTCCTTTCACTGCTGCAATCGATAGGGTGACCTTATGTAAGAGTTTCCTGACCTTTGCTGTTGTCAGTATTGTTCTGCTAAAATGTAATTTAACTCTTTTTCTTTAGTCTGGAAATAGCACTGTACAGACAGCAAACACGAGAGGGGCTTGGGGTTTTTTTCCCCCCTTAACCTAAAGGCAAGAGGCACCATCCATCATCAGAGTTGGCTTCAAACCAGAGGATGACAAGAAGCATCATCTGCAGAGGGTCTGGTTGGTTTCCCAGCACTTTCTTGTACCTTTTTAGTAAGTTAAAAACCCCAAAAAGCCTTACTCTGATGCTCATTCCTGCTCAGTATTTTAGTATTGAGGGGTCTCCCTGGATTCACATCACTGGGATGTTGGTGTCTCCTTGGCACTATGAAGTTACAGCATTTCCTGCAGCTAAGGCCTTGAATGTATTTCACATAATAAAAACAAAACGATCAAGACTTCTATGAAAAAAAAAAAGAAAATAATTGCTTTCAAACAGCAACTACCAAAGCAGAAGGAGGCTGATTTTTCTTGTGACAGTGGATGTTGAAGAGTCAGCCACAGGTTTTAGACTTACAGCTGGCTTATCCATGCCAGGATCTCTGGGAGCCTGGTTTGAATCTCATTGTAACCCTGTAATGCAAGTACTTTTGTGAGAGCAAACTGCCATGGTTATCCTCTGCTGTGCTGCTGTGATTTCATCTCTGAGTTCTGGCTGATGTGGGTATTACTCTGCATTAGCCATGCAGATGCACACGTCGCCACTCACACCCATACATTTGCACAGGATTATGGCTGAAATTCCTGATCCTGCTTATAAAAAGCCCTATAAATCCCAGAGAGCTCCTTTTAAATGGGCAGCATTATCCTACTGTAAATCCGGGGTGTAAGTCAGAGCAGACTCTGGCTCAGATGCTCTTCAGCCACACATCCTAATGGAGCAGGGAGGCTAAAAACAAACCCTGGGCTCTGCACACACCAATTCCCCCACCAAAAACCATCCCCATCACATCCCCAGCCCCATACCCCTTCACTTCTTAAAATACCAGCTCCACTCTTGTCATGGAGAAACTCTCAGAAAGAGAATTAAGAGCTGGGCTTTGGCAGCGCTGCCCCCGCCCCCACGTGCTTCAATATTGCTCACAGCTGAGTTATTTCTTGCTTCTTAGGAATTTTAACTGGCTTTTATGCTCAGTGAACTCGTGAAAGGAGAGTACCTAAAGTCAGCAGTGCTGAAACCATGAATTAGCACAAGGAGAAAGGGGCCAGTTGGGTGTTTCTTGCAGTACATTATCTGCATAATGCCAGAGGAGCTGATTTAAAGTCACTGTGCTACACCTGAACATCATTTATGGCTCATAAAAGGAAAGCTGTGTTTAAGGAACAATAAAGCAGCACTGCACTTTCTGTGGAAGAAGAGAAATAAAGCCTTTCTCACGGAGCAGATGTATTTTTATTTGCTCAATGTCTGCCTCCGAGGCACGTGGAGATGCTTTACCAGAAAGCCCAAGAGTTAAGGAGGAGGACTCGCTCCAGGTTATGGATTATGTTTGATTTGTGTTCATTTTTCCAGCCAAGCCTTAACACAGCAAAATTGACCTCCTGGAAAAGGTAAGATCTGAATCTCCATGGACACCTGTAGCTGTCAGAGGAGCAAGGGAGATCCCCAGGCACAGCAAGCCACAGCAGGGAGGAGCAGGGACCCTTCATAAAACAGAATCACAGAGTCATGTTGATGGTCTGGGAGGTCTTTTCAAACAAAGACCAACCTGTGATTAATCCCCACCTTGTCACCCAGCCCAGAGCACCAAGTGCCACACCCAGTCTTTCCTTGAACACCTCCAGGGATGGGGACTCCGTCACTCCCCCGGGTAGCCCCTTCCGATGCTCAGCAAACTTTCCATGAAGAAATTCTTCCTGAACACCCCAAGTTCCAGGCTCGGGATGTTTGGCCAAACAAAGTGACAGCAGCTGTCACATCAACCACTCTAAGTCACAGTCACATCACAGAAGACACCTATTTTCACTCACCTGCTATCTGTTGATAAATTCCCTCATTTCAGTCTCCAGGGAGTCCAGACCCACACTTTGGTCTCAGTGCAAACACCAGCTGAGGTATTGTGTCACACAAGAGAAAAGCTTCCTAGAACACAGACAAGTTTTTAGCTATTACACTCCTGCCAGTTTGATTTTTGAGAATTTTTAACATGAAACCAAAGTCCTAATGAGAAATACACAATTACAAACTCCATCCCTTCTGTCCCTCTGCACTGTTCTGCCCTCCACCCATTTCCCATCCTCTGCCCACTGCCTCCCTTCCCACAGAGTCGTGGCCACCTCAGGGCCACTCAGCAGTGCCAACCCCTGGAGAGGATTTGGAGAGAGAATTGGAAGGTTCCCACTTCCCAAACTGCTGCCTCCCAGCTCCACTTGTCCTTTCAAGAGACAAGGTGAATCCTCAGCTCCAGGTTTTCCCATCAAGGAGCTGGAAAGGATCCATGTGTGCACAGTATTGACAGCAAGGGTCATGGTCCTGACCTTTCCCTGCTCCCTGTCTGACCTTGCTTTTGGAAAAGGCACCATCACACCACGATTCACCTCCCCGAGGAAGAGGCCTGGAGACTTTATCAGTGTGGTTTAAGCAGCAGGTCTGCAGGATCTCCCCAACACTCAGCACCACCCGGGCTCTGCGCAGGGCTGACGCCGCTCTGTGAATACCAAACTGCAGAGGGAAAGAAAAAAAAAATTCTGTGAGTTTCTGCCAGTGTAGAGCTACAGCACCACGTGAGAACAACCCACTGCCTGAGAGGGAACCTGAACTGAAACAGTTCTACTGCTCTAAAATGAAAAACACCCTGCAGGGAGACAGGAGCAGGATGCCAGAGCTGTATCCAGCACCTTTGGGGAGGACACACAGCTGCACAGAGGGATGCTGAGGGAAGGGAAGCAATTCCCAGCTAAAGCAGAGGATTAATTTCTCAGCATTAACCCATTTCAAGTGTCAGCACAAGGGAGAACTTTCCTTGCAGCTCAGCAGCAGCTTAACGTTAACAGGAAACACAAAATACCCACAGTGTACAAGAAGCATCAGCACAAAAAGCTACGCCTGCACTCCATCCTGACAGCTTCCCTGCAACCAGAAATCCTTTTTCTTTTGGGATTTCTCCCCATTTGGGAATGGACTGGTGTTTTTTTAGAAACACCAGTACAAGGAGAGGATGGCAGGCTTAACATCTGTTTCTACAGGATGACCTTTGAGGAGGCAGTAATGGAATGTGTAGAGAGAAACGAAATAGAGTCATTCCCAGATTGTTTGGCTGCTGGGATGGCAGAGGGATGAGGGCATGCTTGGATTGAACAGGAATTTAAGTGTAGCGCTGCCCTGGAGCAGCAAACACGGCTGGGAGACATCACTGATTTGACATTAAATACCTTGTCCTGAGGTGAACACCACCAGGATTCAAGTGCTTTGCTGGCTTAGAGCTCCACTTGAGGCATCCCACAGCGCCTGGATCCTGCCCCACTCGGACGCTGCAGGACTGCAAATCCACAACAAAAGGAAGAAGAGATAAAAAGGGATTTAGTACTGTCAGGACTGCTAACCCCCAATTCCACAGCCAGCAAAAACCACAGAGGGCTGAACCTGGATTAGTCCAAATATCCGCTCCATCTGCACACTTCCGTATTTTCCTTCCCCGTATTTATTTCCAAGCTACAAACACAGCTTTTCATCAGTCCTAGCAGCTTTTACCTCATAAATCCATCACTTTTACCTTCCCCACCAGCACAGACCCACTCCTCCCACCCCTTCCCTGCTCACCATGCTCCAGTGCCTCTCCCATTCCCCCATCAGTTCTTTCTGGCCACCAAACACCAGGAAAACTCTGACTGACCTGTGTGCTCCTGCACCAAAGGACAGAGGGTGGCCTTGAGATTCCTCCTTTTTTGGCTTTTTTCTTTTTTTTTTTTTTTACCTGAGGAGAAGGCTAGCCTGAGGAGAAGTCAAACCACTGGTAGGCACAGGTTTTGTTTTCTTTTTCTCAGATCTTTATTTTACAAAAATAACTTACAAATAGAGACAACTCTCAGCAGTAAGATCACTCACTCTGTGCAGGAGGATACAGCCTGGTGAAGCAGGGGTGTAGGAGTTAAGGACTCTGACAATACTGTTAATTTTAACATGATGGCAGCTATATTACACTACATATATTTCATGCTCCAGCATGTGGGTGTGACACCACATAAAGCCATGGTCCATAAAGTGTGCCAGCCAGGGAGGATGCTCCCAAGAGATCATTTCCATCCTATTTATCAGCATCCTCTTGGAGCCAAACGGCCACCTAACACTCAGACTACAGCACTCTGGATACACTCATCAGCAATATACTTCAAATACATGATAAAAATATATTTAACTTTCAAATACACTTGTATAAGGTACACCAAGAGGCAGAAAATAAAGTCTCGAGCTTTTAAATACAACACACTATATATATAAACGTACACAAGGAGACAAGAGGGAATCAAGACGTGGAAGGACAAGCTTATCCATGTTATCTATGGTACACAATGGCTTTGTCTGCCAGGAAGTAATTTCCATTTGCATAGCGTTGTTGAGGAGTCCACACTGGGCTAGGAGGAGAAAAGGTTTTCATTTTGGTACCACTTCCACTTTGCAACTGATCCTACTCTTAAATTACACTTCGTCCTCTCTCTTCTGTAGGCTGGAATTCACGCCGCGTTCGTAACAAGCACATTGAAAGGAAAGGGGTAAAAAATAAAAAAAAAAAAAATAAAAACAAACCGTAACACACATAAAAAACACCACATCAGGTCAGAGAGTCAAGAAAGTTTCTTTCTGGGGTTGCAGTCATTTGGCATTTTGCTCCAGAGCTGAGTATTCTGCTTCTGACACTCTGGAGGCGTCGATGAGTTTAGTGAGGCCAGTTTTGGCAGAGTACTTGAAAATAAAGGCTTTCATGAGCTCATATCTGTAGTTGCGGTTGATGAAACTGTACAGGATGGGGTTGACGCAGCAGTGGACTAGGGAGAAACACTGAGTGATGTGGAGGGTGGCGTAGAGGAAGTTCTCCATCTGGCAGCTGAAGGGGATGAAATGAAGGCTGTAGAAGATGTCCAGCAGGACTGCCACGTGGTAGGGCAGCCAGCACACCAGGAACACCACAACGTAGGAGAAGATGATCTTCCCGTTGCTCTTCCGCTCCTGGTCGCTGGAGGTGGAGATGCTCTTGGCCAGGAGGAAATAAAACACGGCGATGATGGGAAAGGGGATGAGGAAGCCCAGCACCACGGAGATGAGCTCCATGCCAATGAACCACTCCTTGAAGCTCTCTTCGGGGTAAACGGGCCTGCAGTAGGTCTCGTTGTTGGAAGAGACCGTCTTGAGGTAATAGGTGTCCGGGAGGGAGGCGGAGAAGGCCAGGAGCCACACCAGGATGCAGATGCAGCGGCGGATGATCTTCTTCTTGCGGCTGCTGGAGTTGGTGAAATAGGCGACCGAGAGGTAGCGGTCCACGCTCATGCACGCCAGGAAGAAGATGCTGCTGTACAAGTTGATGGAAAATATCAGGTGAGTTATCTTGCACGTGATTTCCCCCATGTGCCACTGGTTGTGCTGGACGAGCGAGACGACCCACACAGGCAGGGTGATCACGACGCACAGGTCGGCGATGGCCAGGTTGAAGATGTACAGGTGGGTTTCATAGCCGGTCATTTTGGCCTGCAGGTTGACCCACACCACCACCGAGTTGGCCACCAGGCCTATGACGAAGATGAAGATGTAGAAGAAGGACAGGGTGTAGAGCAGGGCGCTCTTGTTGAGCGTGCCAGGGCATGTTGTCGCATCCACCGTGATGCACTCGCCGTTGTTGCATGTCCAGTTGATCTCCGTCAAGTTGGCTGTCTCCAGGAAATCCAGGATGGAAGTCAAGTCAAGTGCGCTCATGGTCGCTCGGATTGGAACTCAAACGACCTAAAGGCAAAACAGGATTGAAAGAAATGACGTAAATTACGGAGCTATTTCTGCTGCCGTGTCATACCGGGACGCGCCGCTTTAGTGACATCCTGCTCTTGCCAGGCACCTTCCATTAAAGCACTCCATGGAGTAAAACAACCAAGACACTTAGCAAAACTCATCTGCTTGACAAAAGAGGAGCAGCACCAGATTTTGTGCGATTTTTCCTTCTCCTCCAGCTCACATCTGACATCATCAGGTTGGCTATCGTCCCTGGGTGTGAAATCTGCAAAGTACACCGTGGCCAAATAAATGTCAGGCAACGAAATCTGTCTCCTCCGGCATAAATGATGCTTCTATCGCTTTCAGCAGGGGAATCTTTAGGCCATTTTATCTGCACTCCCTCAAGCACAGTAGAATTGATCTGGCTGATACATGGTACCGTAAAACATTTACCACAGGCTCTGGTCAGCATCTTGTCAAGTCATACAGATGCACAAAGCAGAAGTGAGGAACTAAGGGGCTTTGTACTCCTATCCAAACTTAGATTTAATTCTGCTCTGTCCTCCCTCCCTCCCTTCCCTCGAATTCTACAAAGAATTCCCCCGAATTTTACAAAGTATCCCCTGCATTTAACAACCATTACACAGCGTTGAGAAAAGAAAGAAAAACTTGCAGTCTGACTGCTGAATAGATCTGCTGGTCTTAAGTTTTCTTTTTAGGAGAGTGCTTTGATTTCAAAACACTCCCCCATCATGGTTGGCTCCACAACTGCCTCCTTTCCACCCTTTTGCTTTTCTATATATACTTTTGCTGCCTCTTCAGTGCTTTCTTCTACCTGCAGGCAGTGGACAAAGCAACTTGTTAACTTCCTCACCAGCAGAAAGAAAAGGCCCTTAATGGCTCACACAAAACCCTAAGTGGGGCTGCTAACTGCTCTTGTGCTTTTGGGGAGGCATAAAAATGCTGTCCCCCCTCCCTGGGACCCTCACAGGACCCTCAGTACCACCCACAGCCCTGTGCCCACCACACTTCAGCCAGGCCAGTTTTGGAGCGCAGGATCCAGCCTGGGATGTGCCAAAATAAAGCTGCAGAGGTGAGATCCCAAGGGATGGATCCTTGTTCCCTCATGGCTTCACCTGAGCTGGACCATCAGGTCAGCCAGCCCACCCATGGACACATCCAGCACCCCAAACAATGGTCACCTTGCTCTTCCCCATGACCACGGCCCCAGAAAGAGACGGACCAGCCTGGAGAAAGCCAGTGTGGCCAGAGAGCAACAGGGATCTCCAAATATCCCTGACCCCACCACAGGATCTCTTGGTAGGGTTTCCAGGAGCACAGAGTGGGGTTAAGCAGGGAAGAGCTCAGATGTCTTGAATACCCTCTTCTCACCCCCTCTCCCCAAAAAGGGACCTTGGTTGACACAGCACCTCTCCATCTGCATAATGAGCTCTTCCCAAAGCTCCCACCCTCCTGCCCGTCAGGGACAGAGGCTACGGAAGAGAAGGGAGATAAGGGGGGAGATTACCCGAGAGGACTCAAGGCACTATTGTCCCAGCAGAGGGGAAGCTGGTGGCACTAACAATGAGGGGGGCCCTGCACACATTCAGGGGAGATCAAATCTCTCCACAAACAGGCCCAAATTGGCCCTGTGAGGAGATCTGCCCTGTGGCTTTCATCCTGCTGGCCTGATGAAAGACGGAGCCGAGATTCAAACCAAATTAAGCACGGATTTTGCTAAAACACTGCCTAAAGAGGGAGCTGAGCCAGTGGCAGCTCTCCATCCTGGGATAGTCGACCCTGTGCTCATCTCAGGAAAGCAGGCAGTGATTTAACCCACCCTACACAGGGCAGAGGGGCTGATCCACCCCCCAGAGCTGCCAGTTCCACCCTGGTGCTGCAGGCAGCAGGGGTGGATGCATCCCCTGGATGTTCACTTCATCCCAGGGCTGCAAGTGGGACAGAGGGATGGGGCTCCCGCCAGACCTCATCCAAGGTCCCATTGCATCCCCAGCACAAACACCTTCCAAGCTCCTACACACAGGAGAAGGAGCACCATCCCCAAGTCCCTATACCTCAAAACTCTGCAGCAATTAAAGCAAACCCCCTAAAAGCCACAAAACTCCCAGCCCCATGGCAAAGGCCACCGGCTCCTGCTGGTATTTGGGAGCAGCAAGGGGAGCACAGCAGGAGGAACACCCCACTACCCCCTGACACCCCACAGAAGTAGCATGGATGGGCCTGGGCTTCTCTGGAAAGTCACACGGTCTAAAACAAGGGGAACGGGCTCACTCTACATCCCAAGACCCCAATTCAGGACAGGACTGTGACCATCCAGCACCAGCAAGCCTCCAGCACATACCTCATGGAAAAGAAAACTCAAACCTGGCTGACGGGTGTCAGATTCCGACAGAGAGGTAGCAACAGGGCAGCAGAGAGCCCTTGAGGCTGGGGCTCACACCAGTGCTGGGGACACCACGGCCACCACAATCGCAGCTGCTGGCTCAGAGCCACCCTGGGGGTGTTAGGGAGCACGAAGGATGCTCAGCCCGCTCCCAGCCCGCCTGCACTCCGAGAGCACGGCTGCTGCACACACGTGCATCCATCTGCCTGCGCCTTTCGCATCCCCAGCGCGGCAATAAAAACCCGAAACCGAGCCGGCCTCCCAGGCTCCAGGTCCCGCCGGGGAGGAGGGCTGTGCTCACAGATTACAGCCCCGCAAACCGGGCTGTAGTCTGGGATTAGCTGCTGTAACCTGAGCTCCGACTCCCACCCAGATTAGCTGGGAGGTACGGGGGGGAACCCACCAAACAAACTCAATAAAACCACTCCGTGCCCCTAAAAAAAATCCCTTCAGCGCTCTCTGCAGACAGCACAGCATCCGAAAAATTCGTGAAGGAAGCTGGGACCGTAATTTGCGTCCACGACACTGCAAAACTCTTGCAGGCCATCACCCCTTCCACCTAGCAGGCACATGTGCTGAGTCCAGTCGTTGCTAGTTTACAGGACAAGAAGGAAAGCAGACGGGCCCAAAGTCCTGCTCCAGACCTCCAGAGCTGTCCCTGGAGCTGATGCAGCCTGCAGGATTGCACCCTTCCCATCCCACCTCCTGCCCAGACCCGCTGCAGGCTGTGACAAAGCAAACAGGCACAGGCATCCCTGCCTAGCAGGGCAGCCCGGCACGGCAGGGCAGTGTCCAAGCCCTCAGCAATTTGGGGAGCTTCCCAGAGCATCCCACAGCCCGCTCCTGCCCGCACTCAGACCTGCCTCCCGACTGCTCAGGGGTGCGGGCAAGCTGCGCTTCTCCCAAATGGAGCAGGAAACCAGCCATGGCAGGAAAAGCCGGGATGGCCGGGCGGGCTGTCACCCGCACACCTTCACCCTTCCCGTGTGCCGGCTCTGCAGCGTGAGGAGGCGGCCGCCACAAGAGGACACCCACGCCCGCAAGGGTATGCGAGCCCGGTACATTCAAACTCTCCGGCAGTTCCGAGCTGAAGAAACAAACAACAACAGCAGGGGAAGGAGCGGAGCCGAGGAGCGGAGCCGAGGAACGGAGCCGAGGAACGGAGCCGAGCATCGCACCTGGGCACGCAAGGGCACCCACACGGGAGCGGCGGCCGCTCCAAGCTCCCCCAGACCCTCCCGCCACGGGGAACCCCGGTGGGGACAAGCAGGAGCGGCTCCCCCAGCCCGTGCGAGCCCACAGGGACGCGGGGAGGCCGCGAGCGCTCGGCAGCACCGGGCCGGCCGCGCCGTGACCCCTCACGGGTCCCGCAGCCCGGCGGGGCTCCCCCGGCGCCGCCCTTACCTCGGGGCCTGGCGGCAGCGCTGCCCGAGCGAGTGAGCGCGGCCCCGGCGCCGCCGCCGCCTTATATCGGCCGTGAGGGGAGCCCGCCTCCCGGGGGCGGCTCCGGCGGCCCGGCTCCCATCGGCCCAGCCCCAGAGGCGACCGGCCCAGCCCCGGCAGAGTCGGAGATCAGCTCAGCGCAGCCCCGGCTCGGCCCCAGATCGGCACGGCCCCGCCCGGCACGGCCCCGCCCGGCGCTCCGGGAACGGGAGCGAGGGGTGCGGGCAGCCGGGGTGGGAGAGGGGTGATACCGGCACGGGGGAGAGATAAGGAGGGGGGAAGAGGGGGAAAGGGAGGAGAAAGAGAGAGGGGAAAGCGAGGGAAAGAGAAGTAGAGAAAGGGAGGAAAAAGGAGAGAAGGAGAGGAAAAGAAATGAGGAAAAAAAGAGAGAAAAAAGAGGGCAAAGGAGGGCAAAAGCAGAAGAAACGAGGAAAAATATAAAGGAGAAAAAGATAATCAGAGGGAGGAAAATGAGAGAGAAAGAGGAAAAATGAGAGAAAAGGGCAAAGGAGAGCAAAAGCAGAAGAAAAGAGGAAAAATGAAAAAGAGAGGGAGGAAAAAAGGAGAAAAAAGAGGAAAAAGAGAAAAAAGAGGGAAAAGGAGAGGGAAAAAAGAGGGAAAAGGAGAGAAAAAACAGAAGAGAAAAAAGAAAAAAAGAGGAAAAAGAAAAAGAGAGGGAAAGAGGGAAATAGAAAAAGAGAGGAGAAATGAGAAAAGGAGAGGAAAAAACAGAAGAGAAAAAAGAAAAAAGAGGAAAAAGAAAAAGAGGGAAAGAGGGAAATAGAAAAAGAGAGGAGAAATGAGAAAAGGAGAGGAAAGAGAAAAAGAAACATGGAAAAAAGAAAAATAAGAGAAGGAAAAAGAGAAAAGTAGAGAAAAGAGAAAGCAGAAGAAGAGATGCAAAGAGAGAAAAAGTGAAAAAAAGAAAAAAAAAGGTGAAAAAGAAAATGTGGGAAAAGAGAAAAAAGGTGAAGAAAGAGTAAAATACAGAAGAAGAGAGGGATGTCATTGTATAGAGTAAGAGTTTAGAAGCTACAATAGAAGTATATGTATGTACATATGATAATATCCCATTGGGTAAAAGTATCCACAGTGCAGTAGAAATAAGTAAAAGTGATAGCTTAGAAAACCAAAATAAACCCTGTGGCAACTATTAGTTTAGAAAGTTATGTATTACCTTGTAAATAAGAAACTTGTGACTGCTCTTGAGCTATGGCTGACTGCTTGCTCCTTTATAATCTCACAGCCTCTGAGACTGATGTTTATCTGAGCAATAAATTGTTTCCAGCCCAAAAATAGTCCCATCCCTTTATTACAATAATTCTGAGGGAAAGGGGGGGTCAGTCAGGCTGTCTGTCCCAGGGAAATGCTGGGATCAGATGTCCATCCCCCTGCCCAGCCCTGCCAGCGGCACTGACAGCTCCCAGGGGTCTCCACCTGGCTGCTCCCAAAACACCAGGTGAGCTCAGCTCCCAAACCCTCCCCTGAGCCCACACCGACCTACAGCTCCTAAATCAGCTCAGCAGGGCTGAGCCATGCCCAGCCAGGACATGCAGCTTAGCTGACACCTCTGAACCACGACTTTTTGGAAGATACAGGGCTCAAGTCTAGCCCTTGGACCTGTCCCCAGAAAGCATGTGTTTTGTTTCCCAAAAAACCACATAGTCCTATATCCACAGGCAATTAACAAGACAAGGAGGAATGGTTTCAAACTGAAAAAGAGTAGGTTTAGATGGGATATTGGGGGAAAAAAATCTTCCCTGGAAGGGTGATGAGGGCCTGGCACAGAAAAGCTGTGGCTGCCCCATCCCTGGAAGTGTTCCAGACCAGGCTGGATGGGGCTTGCAGCAATGTGGGATATTGGAAGGTGTCTGGCCCATGACAGGAGGTGGCACTGCATGGGCTTTGGGGTCCTTTCTGGTTTGGCTGCCAGGGAACAAGAACAGTCTCCCACCTTCCCACGGATGGAAAGGGTGGGATGTAAAGTCTCTCATCTCCTTTCCTGACCCCTGCTCTCCCTGGGTGAGGTCCTCCCAACTTCACAGCTGTTGTGAGCAAAGTGTTTCAGCATTTGCTTGAATTCTGAGTGCTTGCCCAAGTCCATGGATGCTGGTGGGATTGAAACACAGTGATGTCAGAGAGCGACAGGATTATGGTCAAAAATAAGCAGGGACTGAGGAACTTGGCTAAATCAGGCTCTGAAAATCCTAGGGAGGAAAAAAACCAACAAAACTAAAGGCACTCTAGCAGCACTCTGATTGCTTGGCCAAAAAAGCAAGTGGAGTGCTTTTGCCTTACTTGGTGTGCCAGAAAATAACATCAAAAAGTGCAAAGTCTTCCACAGCTCTCCAGAAATACCAGCCAGCACCTGGAACCACAAAGCTGCTGGAAGTTCAGAAGTCACAGGCAACCTGCCCTCTCCTGCACTTTGCCCAGGGCAGAGCCTCCCTGCCCTCTCCAGGTTCCTCCTTTCAGGTGCCATTTTATTTATCTTCCTCACAGAAGAGCCAGGGCCAATTCCCTTTTAGCTACAAAAACTAGATTTTGTTTGGTGCTCAGGCATTAAAAATCTGCATGATACAAAACCACCTCTCTAGAACAGAGCAAGCAGAGCTGGGAACCTCAGATCAAATCAGCAGAAGGTCGAGGTGCCGCCTGCTTGCCATGATTAATTGGTGTCTGCCACCAATCCAAGAGATGTGATTGCAGATTGCAGTTGCTATGGCCAGCAACTCCTTGGAGATGCAGCTGTCCAGGTGATCCATCACTTACTGAAATGAGACAGGCTGGGAGAACTGGGATTGTTCAGCCTGGAAAACAGAATGTTCTGGGGAGACCTTAAAGCACCTTCCAGTGCCTGAGGGGGGTTCCAAGAGAGCTGAAGAAGGATTTTGGATAAGGGGGAATGGCTTCCCACTGCCAGAGGGCAGGGTTAGATGGAATATTGGGAAGAAACCCTTCCCTGTGAGGGTGGGGAGGCCCTGGCACAGGGTGCCCGGAGTGGCTGCCCCTGGATCCCTGGCAGTGTCCCAGGCCAGGTAGGATGGGGCTTGGAGCAACCTGGGATAGTGGAAGGTGTCCCTGCCCTTGGCATGGGTGGAATGGGATGAGCTTTAAGGTCCCTTCCAACCCAAACCATTTTATGATTTAGGAAAGCAAAGCTCTGCAGTTTTCACCCTGTTATGGAGGAGTCTGTGGCAACATGTCAGTGTTGGGCAAAATGCAGCACTGAAAGCCAGATCATTGTTTAACTGCTTTGGTTTGCATTTATATTTTGTTTAACTGTCTGAACTACAGCAATGTGTTCTTTTTTTTTTTTTTTTTTTCTCCAAAAGCACAAGTTGTTAGTAATGGAGGTAGGGGAGAGAAAAAATCCTGAATTTCTCCCAGTCCTCACAGCCTTTCCCTATTGAATTTGGGAACACAGGCTGAAAGCACCCTCCCTTTCTCTTAAGGCTTGCCTTTCCAGCTGGGAGGCAGATGGAAGCTGACATCCAGCCCTGCCTACCCAAATCAACAGAGAAATTAAAAATAAAAAGTAAAAAACTCCAGTTGGCAGCTTTGAGTGCTGGGAAGACACAGGTTTGGGAATGAGAGAGAAGGCCAAGAAGGCAAAGTGCAGATTGTATTGGGTGGGGGAGCATCTGGATTGCACAGCAAGTATCGGAATGGGACAAAGGGAAAACATTTCTCCAGTTGCACAAGAGAGGGTTTGCGTGCCGCAGGAGCAGCCTCACGCACACAGAGAATGGTGCCAGGAGCTCAAACACCCACCCAGGCACGCCAAAACCTGGCACAGCCCTGGAGGAAGGCAGGCTGTGATCCATGAAGTGTCCGAAGGGGAAGCCCAGCATCCTGCGCTTCCTCCCTCTGCCAAGACAGCCAGCCCTGTGTCCTCTCCTGGTCACGTTCCTTGCTGCATCGCTGGGATGATGGATGGATGGATGGATGGATGGATGGATGGATGGATGGATGGATGGATGGATGGATGGAGGAACGAGCCCCTGTGCTAACAAAAGGAATGAACAGATGACTGCGTCAGGAGTCACCTCTGAAACGGCAGCAGAAAGGAAACGAGCGGCACGTTTCCAGCAGTCAGCGGCTGTGGTGCTGCCCGGCTTCACTTCCCCCAGCAGCAGGGAACAATCAGGGCATTTAATGCCAAACCCTGCCTCCAGCAGCGTCAGCAGCCTCAGGGAAGCCCCAGGGCTGCTCTCCTGTCCAGCTCCATCCTGTCTGGTCTGGAACAGACACGCGATGAGGAAGGCAGGGGGAAGAGAGCAGGGAGAAGCAGCCTCCCACTGCAGGGCAGGAAAAGTTCTCGTGCTCACAGGCAGCTCCAGGAAACCAGAGTCCTCCTCTGCACAAGGACGGAGTGAGCCAGAGGTGCCCCAAGCTGAGGAAGCTGCTCAGGGGGTGGGAAAGGCAGTGCTAGAGAAACTGTGGCAGAAAAAAGCTGACCTCTTAAAAGTGGAGAAAGAAGGAAGAGAAATGCACAGAGAGGCTGCCAGGGCAACCACTGCCCATCCTAGGGCAAGGCTCCTGCTTCCCCTAGCCTAGCCTAAACCACTAAACCAAGCAATAAAAGAGAAATCACAGCTCAGGACTTCCCTTCCTCCTCCACAGCACCCACCTGTTAGTTCAAAGGTTCATGAGATATTATATTTTTATTGCAAAAAGCCACTCGGGGGCTGGTTTCCATCTCTGCTGCAGCTCCAAGGCTGCATTTTCAGCTTCAGCACCACAACAGTAAGGACCAAACTGAAGAGGAAGATTTTCCAGCATAAAGCTGAACTTTTTGGGCTGTCACAGGCCTGCAGCATCTGTGGTTTGAGGCAGCACACGTGGAAAGCTTTGTGAAAAGCTGCCGGGAGGGATCTGTGTTTTCCAGGCCCCGTCCAGCATGGGGACGCTGCCGTCAGCTCTCGCCTCCTGACAAGTGATGGTGAGCAGCTCTGATTCAGAGAGACAACTCAAAACACACAGTGCTTCATGTGGCCCTCTT